GCAAGACTGCATGGGAGATAGATGTCTACACCCCCCCGATCCCAGCCGCAGAACATCGGGTGTGGGGGGGGAATTTCTGGGAGTTGAAGTCCACTCATCTTAAAGCGGCCAAGGTTGAGAAACACTGCTATAGGGTCAGCCTCGAATACTTTCTCTTAAATTACATTACCATTTGTAATGTAAGGTAAAATACATGGCTATTTCATCCAGTGCTGTAATGTCCGATTTACTCATGAACCCTATGACACACTCCTTAGCTTGACCTTATTTCTCCCTCTGGGCTCCATTTTTTTTCTTTTTATCATTTTAAATCTATACTTTTATCATTGCTTTTTCAGTTACTTCAGGAAGTTTGATTGGTTGGCATTTGGCAATACTATTACTCACAGGAGTCGTTTTAAAGCTGCTTTAATTGCAATGTTTTTTCCCCCATCTCCTTTTTCCGTAAGCAGGGGAGAAACTGTTGTTTCTTTCTGTCAGTGCTGTTTTTTACTGTACGTATATACACTCATGCAGCTGCACCATCTTTTAAACTATATTTCTGCTCAGTTTTGGTGTGGTTGTGGATGTTATAAAAAGCAGTGTGATACAGCAGTAGAAAGGGAGAGAAGAGAAAAGCGATGAATTTATTGCAGGATTAATTGCTGGGCAATTAAACTCCTGGGATACTGGTTCAATGGCCAGTCAACATAAGCACAGTCAAAGCACTGTGCATCAGTATAAGAACCATACCATGTTTTAAACAAGGAGATGGTATGCTGCATTCCTGGGCAGGTGCCCACCAAGCAGATTTGTAGTTGGAAGAAGTACCCTTGCCTCTGGAACAAAGGAGACTCCTGTGTAGTGTGCCCAAAAGATTGTGCAGAATATATATTTTTTTCTTGTTGAGAATCGCATACCTTTAAATATAATTACAGATCTGAACATTACAGAATATTCCTCTGGTATCTAGTGTGTGATGCGTGAGAAAGAAGTTTAAGTGATCTGTGACTGACTGAAAATAGAGAGAGGCCATTTGTCATAATGAACGTCTGAGTACGACAACAAAAAGAGACATCTAAAGTGGGTTAAGGGGATTGCTGGAGCGTGTGGCACTTTTGGAATGAGGGCAGACACTGAAGTTACAAGAAGTTAGTTTTAAATCCCTGATTCTTTTTTTTTTTCCTGTGTGTGTAGCTGGAGAAGCTCAAGGAGGCCAGCAAGACCAAGCAGCATTGCAGCCGGGATCCCTGCAAAGGGGACGAAGAGAAGACAGTGCCGGTAACTGGCAAGGTGAAAGAGGCCGGTCTGAAGAGGAAGCCGGGTGAGCAGGGTAGGAAGAGCCTCCAGCTGCTGAGAGAAATGCAAAGTATACAGTCCTCCCTTCAGAAAGATGACGTCAGCTGGGACTGCTGAGGGGTCTTCCCGTGTGTGGGGTTTTGGCGGGTTTGTACCTTTTCTTTTTCATGCCAGCTGCGGCCCAACCAGCCACCACGCTGGGTGAAAGACAATGCCATAGTGGCAGTTTCTAAACAAAGGCTTCTCCTATTCCACCTGTACGCTTGATCATATTACCCTCACGAGGGGAACTGGGGATGGGCAGAAAGGGAAGGAAGATAGGCCCATTATTATTTTATTGTTAGACCCCATGTTGGTACCAGTGGTGGCTATTTTGCTATGAAACGTAATCCTTGCCCTACAATTCTGCTTCTGGCAATGAATTGCACCCGTTGCTTGGGGTGACCTCCTCCTACGACTTTTTCTTTTTCTTTTCTTAAAAATCATCTCCTGGAGAGTAGAAAGTGACCTGGGAAAAGCATCAGTGTCAGTTTTTTGCAGAGTTTTTACTTTGCTTTGTAAACACACAGTGCCTTCGAATGGAACAGCGGAATTAAGGACTCTTTTGACTCTTTCAAGTTTCTTTTATCATAAGCAGCTTTTTCTTTAAAAAGAAATAGCTCCATCTTCTCAGCATGGAGAACTCTGTATTGCCACTCAGGCCTCAGTGTTTGAGTAAGATGCTCCTGTTTTGAAATATGGAAATTATGCACAGAGGTGAGAAGAGGATTTTTTTTTTTTTGACATTCAATTAAACACATTTTGTAAAAACCAACCAACCTTCACATCCGTTTTAGCCATGGAATCTAAGTGATATGGTTTCAGAGTGAAACCAAATTGCCAGGTTGATTTTATCTCATTTTTACTGTTTTGCTAGAAAGCATGAGGTCAGTATATGTAGTTTTGTTTTCAAAATAAATAGTGCCTTAGATCATGCTGGTTAATACTGGTGGGCAGCTTTTTAAAAACTATTATTCCCTAGACTAGAAGATCTGGTGGTGGTTCTGGTACTAGGCAATTTTAATGTACATACAACATTATTTATTATGTTAATAATGTAAAGGCTTTCTGATGATTAGACTATAGTAATAACTCAAAATGGCCTCTGCTTTTTGAGGTTTGATTGGACTGCAATAAAGGCAATGTGCTAATGGAATAAATTAGCTGGGAAAACCAGTGCTCTTTGATCTCCACTTTCCATGGACTGCTGGACTTCAGGAACTGATCTGTGTAATCCATGCACAAAGCAGGGTGCATCATTAGTTGACATTTTTGCCTTGGTGACAGATGGCCCATTACTGGGCGTGATGAGAATGGACACCTGGCAAACTGGTTGGTGGGCACAGCCTCTTTCCATCTCCTGCCAGAGCAGAAAAGGAAGTATGCCCAGTCGCTCCAGTCTTGTTACCTCTTGCTTTTTTTTTTTTTTTTTTTTTTGCAAAGAGACTG